GAGTGCACAATCTGCGCGACCGCTTGGCTAGTGTCTTACTTAGGCTCCCAAAGTTTCTCACATGCGACCCTAAGTGTCCGGATTCTAAACGCTTCCTTTGTAGGCGAGGGGCAAAGAACGTAGCAACTGGCAGTTTTTAGCGCTTGAAAGTTTTTTTGCAAATCAGCTTAATACTTGAACCTACTAGCCACTGCTGATGCATCGCACTCGTTGATGAGATTAGTTTGAATACGAACTTATGACTTCTGGGTAGTCCCAGGTTGACTTTAACGGCTCTCCGAAAATCTTCGGTTGGGCGGGGAGGGGGGGGGGAGGGTGAAGTGTAACGAAAACTTTTCGGATGAAGGTGATCTGCCACGCTCTCCGAGACATTCTTTGAGATGCTCTGGACCTTACAATCGGAGAATTTGTAGAGTCAATTTGAGCGCAGTAATTAAGTCATCTGCACGTTGTAAAGATTCCTCGGTTCCGCCATGTGTTTACACTTACATGCAGCTTCTTTCGAAAAGAGTAGGGTCATAACCGTTATAAGGCTTGCTCCAGCATAACCGTCGTTTCCATCCTTTTTCTGGTCTCGGATTTGTTTGTAGCATACCATCAGCTTGACGCAGTGCCGTTTCGGGCCAAGTAAGCATCTCAGCAAGAGCAAAGCAAGTCTATTCCTAACCCTGTCTTGAGAGATATGTTCAGAATCCCGTTTCTCACATTTTCATGGGTCTATGTCAAGAGGCGCGACTTTTATTGCCAGCCGGTCACCAGTAGCATATAATTTGTGTTTTACAATGTTGTAGATGTATTTGGAGTTTATAAGAAGATACATCGAATAGCCGCGCGGGTTGTTCAGTATATTATCACAAAATAAATCCAAGACGTAGATGTTGATGGTCAAAAAACCTTGGAAATGCAACTAACATAAAAATCGTAAACATTTTAATAAGTCTTTCATCAAAATCAGAACTCAGCAAGGAAACTTTTGACAGTTAGTAAGTCGAAGCACTTTGTTTGGTACTATTTAGGTCCCATAACTCTGAACTGGCCCTCTGAGTTCATGACCTACATAGAAATCGCGCCTGTTGACCGTCTTTCGGTGGGATCGAGGTTCTATCTCTATCCTAATGTGTCGATTAAAAGGCTCCAACCTTAAACGGGATAATTGTTCGTGATGCAAGCCAAACACTTGCAATCGATCCACTGTCTATAGGCAATCTTGTGTAGCATTGCAACTAATAGCCTTGCGGACGAGCATTGTTTTGAACTAAGGACTTGCGCGTTGCTCGCAGGTGACGCGACTGTCGCGGGTTAGCAAGTTCGAGAATTTATTATCGACTAGTTCCCATTTGCTCATTGTCAAATGACAAAATTGGCTTGAAGAAAATTGACCCTCACACAAATGGCTAGTTCAATAGTTACATGTATGTATGAGAACGTGTTATGCGAAAGTGACTGGTGAACTTGATTAACCTTCCTAGAATGAAACGTAATGTGCAAGTGTAGTTCAAGTGGTTAACGAGCTGACTCTCGTTGGCCAGAGGAAGGCTCCATCCCATTAGGTGCAACGGTTTTGCGATCGATCTTTCATGCACTGTGATTATCTGTAAAATAAAGGGGAGGATTTCGCGAACCTCACGCCCAAAACATCTCAGACATTCGCGGTTGACGACCGCCGGAGATCCACCCACTTTCGGTTTGTTTCGGGACAAAGTTGTGTCCTGCCGTTGTCCCGACTTCACCGGCAATTGCGTCGGGATTATTCCGACGCGTATCAATACAATCGATCGGCCTTCTGACTCGTTCGGGTTTAACCGGACGTGCTTGACAAGTGCCGACAGGTATCGGAGGGACGGGGAGACAGTCAAGAGGCGCGATTTCTCTGGCTGTCACCAACTTAAAACTCCAGTTTAGTGGCGAATCTTTGAAAATTACCGGATAAAGTGCATTAGCTTACTCTCCATCTGAGGTCACCACTTGCTGACTTTCATGGTTTTTGCTATAAATCGGACTGAGATACTTATGAATTTGTTCTGAAATGCATTTTTATGAGTTTTTGACCTTCAAATGGCTGTTTTGAATTTCTTCTAGAGTATCAAGATTGAACAACTCAAGCAACTACCTAATATATCTTTTTCTAGATTTCCTATACTTTTAGAAAGTTGCAGAACACTTATTATGTGCTATTTGTGTCCAGCTGGCAATAAAAATCGCGCCTCTTGACATACACCCCGGGGATGTTAATGCACGCGGCCATTAGTCGATCCGGAGATCCGCCCACTTTCGGTTTGTTTCGGGACAAAGTTGTGTCCTGCCGTTGTCCCGACTTCACCGGCAATTGCGTCGGGATTATTCCGACGCGTATCAATACAATCGATCGGCCTTCTGACTCGTTCGGGTTTAACCGGACGTGCTTGACAAGTGCCGACAGGTCGGAGGGACGCCATCATTCGCGATCAAACTCATTTTCATTCCTGCATGCAGTGAGGATAGCCGGCTCATGCATGGCAGATCATCATCCAGGTCTTACTTTTTTGGTTCTTATTATTGCTGTTTCTCTCCGGTTCTACTCTCATCATCTTCAAGTGTGGGCATGAAATACTATCTGCAGAGGTGGGCTGATTCGAGTAGGTGCTCTCCTTTTTAGTGAGTTACTAAAAGTTTGAACCATTTCTCACTCTATTTGGTTTGATTATCCTATTTTCTTTTCAAAAGAGAGATGTTCGTTTATTTGAAACACAGTTCACTCACCGTAACTATTATACAGTTCATATATGCAAACTTCTTCTCGCATATTATTTATCATAGCTCATTCATGTGAAGTGCACAGCCATCATAAACCTTTAGAATAACCTTTTATTTCGCAATGGCTTTGCCGCCCGTACATTTTGTGACAGTTTTCCGTAAAATTGTCCGTTTCTTCGAATGTATTCACATTTCATCACTCTCGTTCTGTTGCTTGCTGAAGGTAGTTGCACAATTGTCCAGATAATAAAATGAAGGGCGATAAACGTAATCTTATATACAGTTCATATATGCAGACTTCTTCTCGCATATTATTTATCATATTATTTATCTTCTCGCATATTATTTATCATAGCTCATTCATGTGAAGTGCACAGCCATCATAAACCTTTAGAATAACCTTTTATTTCGCAATGGCTTTGCCGCCCGTACATTTTGTGACAGTTTTCCGTAAAATTGTCCGTTTCTTCGAATGTATTCACATTTCATCACTATCGTTCTGTTGCTTGCTGAAGGTAGTTGCACAATTGTCCAGATAATAAAATGAAGGGCGATAAACGTAATCTTGCCGATCTTCTCAAGGACGGTGAAGACTCGGGCGTCCCAGATTACATTGGAACTTTTCCGTTTACTGTTAAAAAGCACGTTTGCGCTCTCGAAAAAGTGCGGCTCAATGGCATTGAAGTAAGTCGAAAAGCAAAACCAAACGCCTGCTCTCTCAATTCATTTCAGGATGAAGCGAAGTTCTACGAACATGTTCATTGGTTTCAAAAGGAATTTGAAAGCGATTTAATAAACTTTACTAGCAGGTATAGGCGATTTATTGCGCGCAAAGACTGCGGACATATCGGCGTCTCTATGATCAAGCGCTCTTTCGCTTCTCTTACAATCTTCTGCCTCTCCTTCGCACGTGCTATATTGGTCGGACGCAACGGCGCCCAGTCTTTGCGTGTTATGAATGGCCGATAAGAATCCCCCCCCCCATCCACGCGTATATGCGTATTAGGTAGGTGCCAGAGTAAGCGAATATTTTGTTGAGCTTCGTTTAGCTGCAGAAGGCGCGCAGAATTAATGTCTGCTGCATAATCTCTACTGCTGCCAAGGCCTAATTCAGCTGCAGGTCCCGCGCAGAATCAACGTTAATTCTATGCGCCTTTTGCAGCTGAACGAAGCTGAACAAAATATTCGCTTACTCTGGCACCTACCTTAGTCGTGCGCCTGCGATTAAATGCAATTTTCAGCGACGGAAGATAGTTGGTGGAGAGAACAAGCCGAAAGATGACGAGGCTCAGCTTCCTATAATCCACGAACTAAAGGAGAATGAAGTTTGGTCAGTTTGACTCAGTTCATCAATTGTAAAGGACTTGCTCAATGTAAACAGAGTTTTTTTGTACTAAATCTTGTCATGTTTGCGCAAGTCAATGCATAAATGAGTGATGTTTTAGCACAGCGTAGATTACGGGTTTGTATTTGAAAAGTGGTTATTAGAATGGAACGATACATAAAGTTCAACCATAGTGCCGACCATATAAATAGTTTGTATGGGTCATAGTGGTACATTTTTTTGATTTTTAGTTTTGCTAGATTTTTGTAGGCTTACAAATTTCCTCCTGTCCTTGGACTTACTAGGTTTTGCTGGTTGTTTTTCTTTTTGGTTAGCCTAATGCTGCATTCTAAATTATGTTAGAGTCGGTCTTCCTCATCAGATTTGCGTTCGATGCAATGTTTTTACTGTGGAACTGAACGATTTTTGATATTACCGCTAACCGTCGTTTTTTTAATGAAAAGAATAGAGTCAAACCTTATTCGATTAAGCAAGCGTTTTGGATTTTCAGCAGCGATTACCAGCGTTTCTATTGTCATCCGTCATCAATATTTCCGCGTGTTTACAATTGTCTTATTGTGGGGACGTTCATTGATTTCAAGTTTATTATTCAATACTCTAACTGATTGGAAGAGTGTGAGGAACCGATCGGCCTGATGTGTTAAGTGCAGTTCTTTGTGTAAAAGTTTCATTTATGAGTTGTTTGACGCTTCAGCGCACTACAAATCTACGGTTATCTACGGTTTTCAAACTTTGATGGTCCAAATATCTTGCTCTGCGTTGATGTTGTAAATTTGGTTTTGTCAATGCCAGATAAAGTATACCTTTACAAGCAAAAGCACTGGTTTCAGGAACTAAATGACAAGTCACAACCTGATAATGGATCTAAGGAATTCCATCATTCTGGCTCAACGTGCCAAAAGGGTCTGATATGACTCAGGATATGATCCAAGATGATTATGAACCTATCTTGAAACATCTGACCAATATTACCACTTTTATTGAAGTTGACCCACATGTAGGTCTTTCATATCCTTCAGGTTCATCTTTCTTTTCATATTTGTCTATAGTCTTGGAAACGTCCAGTGCGCTCGCATAAGCACGACCACTACCTGCATCTACTGGATTTCTACCGTCACTTTTTTCTCAACGTAAGTACTACCTTGTGCAGTCAAGTTCGAGAGCTACATATATTTAGGCATGTGATTCCATCCACGTCATTTAACAATACGCATATCGACAATCCGGCAAAAATGGCAAGGACAAAAGCCTGAAAGACCTTCCCGAATCATTGGTCACTTTCCTCATAGGCGAGTTTCCTTGAGACCACTTGAAGGAGTTGACTTCAAATTTCAGATTTCGTCCTTGATGCAATGGGATTGTTCGGCGATGAACTCCTTTTACCACCCGCAGATTGCGCTAGAATTCACGGAAGGTAGTTTTCACCACGTAAATGACAAAAGATATCTATTGCCGTTTCAGGTACTGGGCTGATTTGGGCGAGACGGAGTCTCAAAGAAGAAAAAGGTTCGATGCGCTATCCGAAGCGCGAACAGACTGGAGTACGCATGCACGCGAAGCCCTCTGCAGAGCATTGTAAGTATTTCATGCTTTATCTTACTCTGGTCTCGCCCGGGTGGGTGTAAAAAATTCCTGTGGAGGGTGCTAACGTCCGCGTTTGTTTTCAGAGCCGACATTCGTCAATATGAATTCGATGCAGCACGCCTGACGCTCATGCCGCCCAAGGTAAGTTTCTCTATTCACAGCTGTGATGTCATTCGTTCTTTTTCAATTTCAAAAAAAAAAGAGTAATAACGACGCAAGAAGGGACAACGATCGAGAAAACAGAAGTCCGGGAGTACCTGAGGAAGATTGATTCCTTTTTTGTGTTTTTGCTCACATATGTTATGTATGATTTTCTTGTTGCGATTTTGTTCTTGACACTAGATTTTTCTCTTTTTGCTCAGGAATATATAATTTTGCTGCAGCGATTTTGTTGTTACGAGTTTTCTTATCATTTGTTATGGTTTTGTCGTTGAGTTGATGAATAAATCTCTGTCGATTCAGTTTTTGTTGTTTACATAGTATGCAGTGTATGCCGGAAATTTGAACAATATCAAGTGCGCTCTACGGCTAATTCCATGCCCCATGGTCGGTTCGGGACTCCTGCATTTGACCGGCGTTTCACCTGCGTTCGACCCGAACATGTGCTGCAGGCAAATCCCGAACGAAACGCTGGTGAAACCTGTTCGACCGGCGTTTCTCCGGCAGTCTTGTCCCGAACCAAAAGCCGGATTGTTCCGAAACAAACGGATGTGTACCGCATGTTTTCAATGAGTCGAACTCCCTTTCACCGGCGGTCGTCAACCGCGAATGTCTGAGATGAGCTTGTCATGAGGTTCGCGAGTTCGCCGTCGTGTCTTATGTCAACATGCGGGGCGGTTTACTACGTGCCCAAATTAACACCTGGCACAAATAAGCACTTGAGCGAGGAGTCCAACAGATAGGAACAAAATAAGGTTGGAAGAGGCGAAATATACTAAAATTTGACTGAAATTGGAGAAAAACTGGGAGCTAACCTGAAAACAACCGCTCACGGCCGGCGCAGGATAGAGAATGAAATGTGCGAAACATATGATATACTAAGTAAGTAAAGTAAGAAAGTAAGTTACAGGCTACCTTTTCTCGAAGCGCTTATGATGTCTAAAGTGTTCTAAAGGAGTAATGTCTGTGGAACAGGCAATTTTTAACTAGATTAGAGCACAAATCCCACCGAATAATTTTTTAAGGTTGTGTATGCCAAAGTATAAGTGTGTGTGTATGCATATGGTTTGTTGTGTCTGTATGTGTATATGTGTATATGTGAGTGCGTGTGCATTTGTGTGTATGTGCGTATGTATGCATGTGTGTTTGTGTGTGTATGTGTGTATGTTTGTGTGTGTTTGTGTATGTCTGTGTGTATATATGCTTGTATTTGTGTGTATGCATGTGTATGTGTGTATTTGTATATGTGCTTGTCTGTGTGCATGTGTGTGCAGTGTTCTGCGTGTGTGTGTCTGAGTGTGTGTTTAGTGTATGTGCATCTGTATGTGGTTTGGTGTGTGTGGGTGTATGTGTATGTGTTATATGTGTCCCCCCGAGAATGGGTCGCAAAGTTTTTGAAAGTACTTACAAGGGCTATAAAAATGTGTAAATGACTTGTCTTTACTTGTAGATGATTGAACTGATTTTTTAAATTGTTGAAAATCCAATTGATCTTCATAAAAGAAATTTTTCCAGAAGCGTGGCGCCAGCCATGCCCTCTTTTTTGAAATTTCGGAGGTATGGGACCGCAAAAATAACAAACATAGGAAAAAATTTTTCGGAGTGCGTAACTGAAGCCACGCACCTTCTTCAGAAGAATTTTTGCCTTTCCCCCTTCCCCTTCCAAACGGGAATCCTGTTTACGCCGCTGATGTGTATATGTATGCTTTATGTATATGTATGTGTCCATCTGTAGGTATTTGTGTGTGTGCATGTGTGTGCATTTTGTGTGCATTCATGTATAGTGTATTAAACTACTTCATTATTTTTGGTGATTTATGTATGTGCAAAGTTTATAGTGTGCATTGTTTGTGTTTTGGTTGATGTCTGTATGTTATATGGTGTATAGAGAATAGTGTATGGTTTAGCGATGGGGGTTTATTGTTTCAATGAATTTTTCTTGTATGTTGAATTATGAATGTGATATTATGGTAGCAGCTGTTTAAACATTTATTCAATTTCCACGTACTCTCTTCTTTAAACCTGGGCATGATCTATCGAATATTGTATAGTGATAAAGAATAAAGATAAATGTTGACAATAAAAATCCACCGCAAAACCTGTTGGCAGAACAACACTAAACAATATTTATCCAATTATTACTTCAAAAAAAAAAAGACTTTTTAAGCTATTTATAGTCTTTGCTGTTAGTACTTACACAATATTCTATGATAATGAAACTGTTACGATGTATGCACCTGAATAAAGAACTCAAGACCATTTTGCAAATGAATTCTTTTTCGCTCGGATCTTTGCAAAGTTGTTTGATTTTCTCAATGTAAAAATTTCGTAAGTGCAGGTTCTGGCTGTTCTTAATCTTGATTTTCTTATGCATTACTGAGCTTTTAAGTTGGATGTGTAATGTGGAAATCTAATTACACGGTACTTGAAAGTATCTGTGTCATTATATAATTATTGTAAATTTTATTTTATTAATTGTTTATCATATTACTGTTTACCATGTTAATTTCTAGATCTAGGTAGAAAGTTTTGCGAGAGATGTCATGTGTGGTTTTCAATGCAAGTTTTTACTGAGACGCTGAGTAGCAGTTGTTTTATTTGATGATCTTCTTAATTGTGCATAATTAGTATGTCGTCAATGTATCTATCTTATACAGGGTGTCCCAAAAGTAAGTACACACTTTTCAATAGTTAATATCTCTCTTCCCACTAGGTCTTTTTCCGCCGTTCAAGTACCATTTTGTAGAGGAGGCTTCATCTTAGATTTGTAGTATGGAGCAAATCACCGGTCGCTTTTCGTTACTGTAGGATTATGGTAAGAACTTCCAGCATGTGGAACCATTGTGAAATATGCCATCCGACAAAATTTTCTCAAAAAATCTGAAAAATCGTGTACTAGGGTTTTCGCGCACGCCGATTCCGTTACACAACTTTTTGTGGGTGTTTTCAGCTTTTCTGACAGTGTAATTACAGTTCCGTCAAATGCTGGTAACTCGGTTATTACAATTTACATGGGATAACTTAGGAAAGAAGCAGAAGCAAGAGTCAAGTAAAAGTTTCATCTTCGAAATCAGCGGCTTCCACTACCATAGTATAAGAGTTTTGGCTTGTTTGGTTTTGTTCCGAGGCAGAATATGGCTTGCAACGACCTAAAATCCTTGACGAAGTTCCTACAGTAATCCTACAGTAACGAAGAGTGATCGGTAATTCGCTCGATACTGTAAATCTAATTGAAGCTTTCTCTACAGGATGGCACTTAAATGGCTGAAAAAGACACAATGGGAAGAGAGATATTAACGATCGAAAAGTGTGTACTTACTTTTGGGACACCCTGTATATAACTAGCTGGCTTACACGGCTCCGCCGTATGTTCCGAATAGAAAATTCCATTTCTTAACCGATCCGGACCAAACTTGGCACACATACACTTCGGACCCCGGCGGGTGCCACAGTCCTGTGTGTGTGTGTGTGTGTGTGTGTGTGTGTGTGTGTGTGTGTGTGTGTGTGTGTGTGTGTGTGTGTGTGTGTGTGTGTGTGTGTGTGTGTGTGTGTGTGTGTGTGTGTGTGTGTGTGTGTGTGTGTGTGTGTGTGTGTGTGTGTGTGTGTGTGTGTTCCGAATCAGAAATCTTGTTTCCGAACCGATACGGGCCAAACTTAGCCCACATACTTCGGAACAAGGCGGGTGTCACAAATCTCTTTTCCTTATCGATCGATATAGATTTTTATCGATTTTTCGTAAAGTTTGACTTGCGCGGCTGGGAGTTGGCACAGGAGCAGTCGAGCATGCTGATTACTAAGACAGCGGGATTAGTGAACAGGCATGTAGAATTGAGCACAGGGAAGGGTTGTACAAAGATAGGGATAGAATCTTTATCATTGTATTTTGATAGGGCTGGACGGGGCCGGGTAAGCCAGCTATTAGGTCGTCCCATAATGTCGTAGAGTTTTTATTTTTGTTGTCATTTTCTGGTAATGGTTGTGGCAAAGTATCTAAATTATTCGAAAAAGCGGAATTTGCTCTGCAAATCCTGTTTTTAATTTTTGAAGCATTCTTAATAATCTTTGGTTTAAGACTTCTCAAAGCAAAGTTTTCCCAATGGCAGAAAATGGCGAATTCGACGTTATAATATATAACGAAAGTCATTAGGTTTATTTCAAAATAAAGCGTAGGTCTTGTGAAGCAGAATTGGCTCCGTGGGATAGTACGGATACTTTGCCGTAATCCAACCGCTTGGCTAGAAAACGGCGACAAAAATAAAAAGTTACGAACTTATGGAATGACCTAACACTATAGAACAAATTTCTTAGAATAATGAAGTGATCTTTTGTATAAATATATCTATAGTAAAATCAGGTAAGATCTGCAAGTAAGAAACTGCAATTATTTCCTTGTGGTACCCCTGCTATTTGCCGAAATACAAAATTAGCAAATTTACAGCAGCTTTTATAATGCAAATATTGAATCAAGTATTATACAAATCTAATATGATGTCAATTTCATCGTAGTAGCTGTAATTACTACAATTTTTGCATCTTTGTAAAAGCATTCAAATCCATTATAAGCAATGTATTTTTTTACCAGCATTTTTAAAAGCAAATTTTTAGGTTTTTCTCAAATTTTTTTAATGACACCATTGTGGGCCAAGTTAAGCATGTCTGTGAAGTCTGCGTGAGCATGTCATATGTCCTATTGTCTTAAAACCTGGCATATGGTGGTAACTAATCAAAAATTTTCTTCTGCTTTACAGGTTATTGTTGTTAGGCAATGAAGTTTCACCTATAACAACCTGGGCAGAAGAAAAGTGTTGAAATCTGCGAGAACAGTTTTACGTTTGGAATATTCAATTAAAAAGAATATAGCTAATGTTAGTATTATCAATGGACCAAAGACCTACACAGTTTTTACTTCTCACTGATAGCATTGACATATTTACTAAAATGCTGTATTATGTGTATGAGCATGTTGCTTAATTCTATAGCTGGCAATTTGGCACTACTGTTATAAGCATCTGTCATGAATCTAAATTTTATGGTTATTTGTGTAGTTCAAGCAAACGGTAAATCATTGGTATCAAAGCGATCCAAAAGAAATGGACCTCCCGGAGAATAAATGCAGTTCTTTCAAATAAAAAAGTTTATTGGAGGTCCAAGTCTTGGCAGATGTTAGTACATAACAAAACCTTCTCATCGAGGTCCATAGTTGGGCACTGTCACGTGGCGTTATTTTTATAAGCGCTCAAAATTAAAGCTCATTACTTCAAGTAATTTTGCCAAAAATATCTGCGCAGCAATGGGTGCGAGGGTTGTCACCAAATTCACGATAGCTCGGTGGTCCCAAAGCTTTAGAACAGAAAACACAGGGTGCCCCAAAAGTAAGTACACACTTTTCAATCGCTAATATCTCTCTTCCCATTGGGTCTTTATAGGCCATTCAAGAACCAATTTGTAGAGGAAACTTCAACTTAGATTTACAGTACGGAGCAAATCACCGACCACTCTTCATTGCTTAGGATTACCGTAGAAACTTCGACAAGGATTTTAGGCCATTGGAGGCCATATTTTGCCTTGGAACAAAACCAAACAAACCAAAAACTTTTATACTATGGTAATGAAAGACGCTGATTTCGAATATGAATTTTTCGCTTCACTGTGATGCTTCTTTCTAAATATCCCAGGTAAACCGTAATAACCGAATTCCCAGCATTCGTCAGAAATGTGATTAATCGTCAAAAAAGCTGAAAACATTCGTAAAAAGTTGTGTAGTAGAATCAGCGTGCGCGAAAACACCAGTATACGATTTTTCAGACTTCTTGAAAAAAATTTGTCAGATGGCATATTTTACAGTGAATCCACATGCTGGAAGATCTTACCGTAATCCTACAGTAATAAAGAGTGGCCGGTGATTCGCTCCGTACTGTAAATTTAAGGTGAAGTTTCCTCTACAGAACGGTTTTTGAACGGCGGAAAAAGACCCAATGGGAAGAGAGATATTGACGATTGAAAAGTGTGTACTTACTTTTAGGACACCCTGTATAACAACTTTTCTTATTTTCAGAAAATTGTACGCCAAAACATGAATTTTAGTTTGAAAATCTGCGCCAAACACCGCACTTTTTCGAATGAAGTGCCTTTTTTGTATAAAATTATGGGCAATTCTTGAATATTCCAATAATCTTTAGAAAAAGCTTGGAAAGCTCTTTCGAATTTTAGGTGCAGCAGCACAAATTCGGATGGGGTTCAAAAAAGTCTGTCTGACTTCTTCAAAGCGCCGCTCGAAGGAATGTCGGTGAGTTGCTGCAAGGTGCTGTCAAGATAACCTGCGAAGGTCATTTCATACAAAAGCGTTCAAATTGTTGGTTGTTCATAGCTAATCAGAAAGAAGTCTTGAAGAATGTTTAAAAAAATTAAGGGCCCCATTACTTTTGGATCACATTAATATTAGGTGGGACCGAAAGTTTTGTCACTTTTTTCAATCCATCGGTAAACACACTCGAATGAAGATAAACAATGTTTCAAAATGTATCCAATGCAGAATTTCTTCCTCTTTCCAGCTGCTAAACTACTATTATGTTTCGTTGCGAGAGTGACAAGATACTTGCTGGAAATTACAACCACTCGTTTTACCATGTCCAAATTTCGCTAATTTTCAAAATTTTTGTATGAGTCTTTCAGAGGAGCCCTAATAACCAGCAGATAGGGGAAACCTTTTGACAACAGAAGCAATTTTTTTACGGCCTGTCTTTCAGAATCTCTACGATTTATTTTTTGAAGTGATCAAATTCTGCATTCAGCCTATTTTAATCTCGTAGAACACAAAATCTTAAACACTTCAGTCACCGTTCGATGCAGATTTTTCTCCTCTTTTTAACACTTGCCTTTTTGCCGAGACAGGCGAAAATTGTGGGGAAAATCGCGGTATTTCCCAATTTCAGGACTGCACACTGACAGAACCTTTGCTTTAAAATCACATAATTTGAGGCGAAAATCGCTCATTTACTTTGTAGTGGTAGCGGTAGCAATAATCATGTGTTGAAACCTCAGTTTTCTGTAGGTTTTGCAGTTTTGGTGCAATAACAGGTTATGCGATCTTTCCAAAACACAAGACTTTTAGAAAATTATTTAGCAAAAATCTGAAAAGCAGCTGAAAAGAAGAAAAAAATTGTTAAGCTGGTAAAAAGTTTGCTTTATCTGGTGGTTATAAGGGCTCCTCTGAAAGTCCCATACAAAAATTTTGAAAATTAACGA